GGGCTTCCACTCTCTCATAATTTTTATGTAACGGAAGGGCTTAATAGGTGTCATTTTAGGAAGGGATTGGCTAACAATGAATGGAGTGAGAATTTCCTTGATTTGGGCTGTTTAAGAATTGAGAAAACATATGTAAAATTACAAGAAGATATCCATTTTTCGTCTTTGGTGAGGATAAATAGAAAAGTTTTGGTTAAACCACAAACAGCAGTGGTGTGTCACGCAAAATTAAGCTTTGCCTTTCCAAGAAAATATGAAGAAATTATTGAAATTCAAAACATAGATGAATGTGTCAATGAAGAACCGGGGTTATTTATACAAGAGTCAGTAGATATATCAAAAAGACGCGTAAAGTCCCAATTTTGATGTTAACCGCTCTAACAAAGCGTGCTCGTTAAAACCAGGACAAGATCCGCGGACAAACGCGGGATAAATACTATCAATTTATCCAATAAATCCAGTAACTCGGAAGATTTTAAAGAAATTGACGCACCGGAGGAATATAAATCTTACGTTATGAAAGTCGTTCAAAACAATAAAGATTTATTTGAAAAACATGATATTGAGTTTGGACTCAATTAAGGAAACTGTCAAAATAAAAATTGAAACAGGGATCGAACCATCATCCCATTTTAACAGGCCGTATAGAACTCCGTTGAATAAAAGAAAATAATTGTAAAATCTATCGATGAAATGTTAGACGCGAAAAAAATTACTAGATTGCAGCCACCATGGTCATTTTCGTTTGTAGTCGTTGGAAAGAAAGACGGAACTCAGAGAATGTGTGTACATTTCCGGTCATTGAATAAAATTGTAACACCCGCATCGTATCCGCTACCGCTCATTGATGATATTTTAAGTTTATTAGATAAATCTAAAAATTTTACCACACTTGATTTAAAGAGCGGGTATTGGCGAGTTCAGTTAGATGAAGAAAGTAAAGAGAAAACTGCGTCTGCGTGTCATAAAGGTTTATTTCACTTTAATAGAATGCCTTTTGGTTTAAGTAATGCACCGGCGGTATTTCAGGAGTTTTAATAAACATTGTTTTGCAAGGGTGTGAGAATTTTGCGACAGCGTATTTTGATGATGTTCTTATATTTTCGAAAACAGTCGAAGAACATCAAAAGCACATTCAAGAATTATTTCGCCGAATTCGTCAACATGGTCTCAAGTTAAAATTAAAGAAATGTAAGTTTTTCCAACTGGAAACCGCGAGTATCTATGGTTTGTAATAGGTTCAGAAGGTGTCAAACCAGATGAAAAGAAGATACAAGCTATCAGAACTCTACCAGCACCAGGTACGGTAAGAGAGGTTAGAGGTTTCATTGGTATGTGTAGTTATTATCGTCGCTTAATACCAAATTTTTCTAAGATTGCAGAACCACAGATCAATCTTACACGTAAGTACTCCAGATTCAAGTGGACAGAACAATGTCAAATTGCCTTTGATTTTCTAAAAGAGAGCTTAACCGGGGGTACCTAATTACTCGCATATCCGGATGTCAACAAACCTTATGTATTGTACACTGATGCTAGTGACAATTGTATTGGGGCTTGCTAAACACAGAAATCAGATGAGGGAGAGGAGAAAACCTTTACTATCTCTCTCATAAACTCGGTTAAACTCAGGTAAAATGGCCCACAATAGAAAGAGAACATATGCAATACATTATGCACTACAAAAATTAGATCATTATTTGCATAATGCAACTTTTACTATTAAAACTGACCACAAACCCTTAAAATATATACTAGATGCCCTTATACAAAACAAGAAACACAACTCTGGGCACTAAGTATTGCAGGAAGCAATTGTAAGATCGAGTATATTGAAGGTAGGTATAACTGTTGTTCAGACTTGCTTTCAAGACTTCCATCTAGTACTTCGGGTCATAGTGATATTCATGAAGGTAAGGATGAAAATGAGCCAGTCTGAGACATTAATGACAACATTTGAAGTCAGTGCAATAAATTCCAACTGTATTGAATCTAAACAATTTGGTAACTCCGATTTCAAGATACCTGATGATTTGATTAAGGCATTTTTAGATTTACCGGAAGGTATCGATCGATGTTCAAAAATTGCAAAAATCAGATGAACATATTTTTACATTAAGAGAAAGAATTGAAAAGGGAAAAGCTATACTCGATTTGAAGAACATAATTTTTGGAGATTGAAGGTCTTCTTTATTATTTGTCAGACGGGGATTCCGAATCTCCAAGACTACGTTTATTATGTTACTGAAGAATTAGAAGAAATTACTCTAAAACAATATCACGACAATTTAGGACATATAGCAGTAGGCAAAACTTATGATGCTATCCGAGAAAAGTATTACATTCCAAATTTATACAAAAAATTAAATAATTATATTGAACAATGTGTTACCTGTCAAACTAGGAGCTCCAGAAAAATTTATCCTCCAATACAAGAGACTGAAATTCCACCTTATCCTTTTGCTAAAATTGCACTAGACTTGTCTGGACCTTATCCAACCACTCTTTCCGGAAACAAGTACATTGTCTCATTGATTGACATTTACTCAGGTTGGCCGGAAGCATTTTGTGTCGCTGACAAATCAGCTGATAACATACAGTACAGGCAACGCGGATCCCGTATTAGACCGCGTCCCCTCGGCGGTGTGTTAATCCTTTCCGCGTTACACCGTCGCGGGTTTTGATCGCGGTACTACCTGCGACCGTGTTTACACCGCAGCGGGACCAGCTACCGTTTTTCTTCAGCTTAGAGTTGTTACCTGTAAAGTGTTTGCGATTTTTCATCGCGATGAAAAGGGGAGGGGGGGGGGTAATTTATTGAAGATCATGGCCTACATTTTACCGTGAATACCATTAAATGAATTTTTGATTTAATTCTAAGTAATATCAAATTGTATAATAAATATTTATTTGCTATGTTTTTTATCAATAGCAACTCAAAATTAATTATTTCTCATATTAAAAAAAAAGCATATATAGCTATAGTGCGTGTGGTAAAATTCGATGAAATATCATCAGCTCATTACCGTAAATAATTATTTAAAATCAATAATTCCAACATAAATTATCTTGAAATCGCTAAATAATTCACCTTATAACAGTAGCATTAGATTCTTAATGCATTGCAATGCAGTGTCCACGATTAGCCCGTGCAGTTACGTCCTCGGTTACATGTAGCTAATGCGTTTATTTTTCTGCGAGATTCGATCACAGTCATTGGTTTCTTAAAAATAAAATATGCCTTTGTATATATATATCTGATTTAATTATTAGAATGAAAAACGATGATAGATAGAGATGGTAACAGTATTAAACACCTGTACATTTAAGAATATGTTGTACCATTAACTGCTAATATTATGCGTTAAACATGTAAGACTGTAGAAGTAATATCAGCATGATCTTTTTTTCGTTATTGTTGTTAATAAAATGGCTTAGACAACCTTAATGAACTTTGCAATATTAATATAATCAATAAGTCTAGTTATATATTCAAAATTTAAAATTAAAGGGCCAATGTTGTCATGGAACAGAGGAAATATGAAAAACTTAAATCATTTTTTCCAGTAACCTTCTAGTTTATTCTTTTGAAATATTGTAGTATTATACTTTGCATGAAATATGAAGTAACGAACAGTACTCAATCTCCAATGAAACAATACAAATTTGGAGCAGAGCAAACACGGACCTCAAAATTAAGACTTAGAGGTGGGATCAGGTGCCATGGAGAAGTGAGCATCCCTTGCATAAACTATGATTTCTTCAAAAAATGGAATAATTGATTGGACAAATGGATTTTTTTTTCACTTTTACCAAAACCGGATCGATGGAATTGTGTTGAGGTGTTTGATAAAACTAGAAAATGTACAGTGCATGGATTCATATGTTTCTATATATTCCTATATATTACTCATAATGATTTCTTTCGTAAGCTGGCAAAATTATCCATACATTGAGAAACTGGACAAAAAACGTACATCGACCACCTTACTTAGCATCGCTTCAAGATGATACACTAGGTTCACAACAGAGTATACACCGGTATGCCCAATGTGCCAAGGAAATGAAAAAAGTTAATTTTAATTTTTTTTCTCAAGCTATTTTAAACTGCATAATATTGTTGTGCAATGTCTCTGTTTAATTCTTGCATTTAAAAATTTCCAAAATGGTTGTCTTTGTGATGGAAACAAAAGTTTTGCAAAACTTCAAATGCATGTATTAATAGCTTTCACTTTGCTTTGAACTCCTATATTGAAATGCTGGAGGTAGTTTAGGATGACATACATGTATGCAATAGCAAAGTTTCTAGTTATTAATACTTTCTGTCATCGAAAATACTGAACCTTTATTTCCTCTCATTTCTCTCTCTCTCCCTCTCTTTTTTTTCTAAGATACTATACATATATGAGACCCTTTACTGGGGACTCAAACACATATACATAGAGATTATATACATTTATTTACAAGACTGAATTTTCTTAATAATACACAATAGGTGGTGTATTTTCTATTCATGAGCACTGTGGCCTAGGAGCCTCTTGTTTTTTTTTAAATAAAAAAAAGCCTCAACATTTCTTTTCAGCCAACCATCCCCCTTCCCCTACTGTTTTCATATCCATACCATGAGACCTTCCTCAATGCAAAAACTTAATCATGTTAATAGTCATCCTGCAGCCTCACACGTGGATTATGAAAATGATGTCAATTATTACACGAAATACAATATCACTATTATGTTTTAATCAACAATATATATACAACTAACATTACAAAATAACACAGCTTATTTGAGCACCAAATTAACAAATACATGTTTGTTATATAATTAAATTGCATCAAACATGTTTGAATCTTATAAATACAGGAGCCCCTTTAACTAAATTTTTTATCTTAAAATGGGTATAATTTCTTCTTTACATAACTTTACATTTTTATGATAAAGTGCAAATTGTTGTTTATAAAGAGGTATCAATATTCAATATTAATTAAAATGAGGTACTTTGTAAAGATTTCATGCTTTATTAAAAAAAGGAATAATTTCATGCATATACAATGTTGCATTGAGAGTTGATATTACAATTTGAAAAAAAGATATAGGACTCCAAAACTGATGAAAAATATAAGTCAGTGTAAGAAAATTACATTAAAAAAAGTTGCAATAGATGCTTATTGGGTAAGGACAGATCAAATATTTTACATCACATAAAACACCATGAAATTTTGTTTACATGTAGTACTTTTAAAATTAACATTAGGTTTTCTTGCAATTACAAATACTGTATGCTGATTTAATTTATCTTCCTGTACAATCAGCTAAAATTTGCATTTTGTATTTCAGTCAAAGGTCATAAACATCAAACTATAAATGGATCTAGAACTTGGTCTCTCAGAGAGGAATACATCCCTATATGTTTAAAAAGATTGGGTTGGATCAGTAAAGCTCTTAACTTTGGATTGAGTTTTCTTAATTTATCAATTGCTGTATCTTTTCCAAACCCACTCTTACATCTCACAGACTTCAGATATGATGAAATAGCAAGAAAGCCTGCTTTTGTGTAAACAATGGCAGGGGTACAGCAAGATGGTGCTGGAGTGACTTGGTATAAGTATTTTGATATCCTCCTGAGAGCTGTGAAATTCTGTCTACCTACAGCAAGCACAAATAGACACGAATACACAAAAAATCCAAGCCATATTATTTTTCTGTGATTTGCTTCTATTGGATGAATGGTCAAATAAGTTTTTACAAAACATGTTGTCAAAATCAATCCCAAACAAAATAGCTCTGGGAGACGTTCCTTCTCTAAACTGATGAATCCTAGAAGACGATCAGGGTGATATAATTTAATGAAGGTGATATCAGATTGATGTGGTCCTGTTTTACTCAGTCCCATGGAATAAAGATGATGGTCAACAACAGATATCATGTCATCGTTTGGTAATGCATCATCTTCCACTAGAAGTATGTTAGAAACATTCTGCTTAAATGCTTGCTCTCCACAGTAAATGTAGTCTTCTTTTTCTTTTTCAAGAGTTTGATCTAAAGACCTTTGAAATAATGGCCTTGATGAAGAGTTTGAAAATCTGTTGAATGTAGTTACTATTTTTGTTAAATTTTGAAGTTCAAAGTAAGATGAAGGTTCATCATCTACATTACATAGGAATAAGGAGTATGTCAGTTTTAAATGTTTGGTCTCATTGAGAAGTTGGAGAGTTTTTCCTACAACTTGTGTTAAGTACTTGGGTTCATACTGATCCAACCTGTGTCGATTTCTTGAAACAGTTATGATAGTGATACCAATGTCAGCGGGTTGTTGTAACGAGAGTTTATTTCTCATTCCACCATAAACATTAATGTAGTTCTGAGCCTCTTTTATCCTTTGATCATTTACATTTCTCAGTAACTCTTGTGCATGAGATTTGTCCTTGTGCCAAACTTTTTCATATGCTGTGTATCTGTACCTCAGTGATAATAGTGGTAGTGCGACAAAATATGTCACCAAAGTGATTAATCCTAAATGTTTCCAAAACTTGTTTTTCCATAAAGATCTGCACAACTTTCTCATCATAAGACAGGGACTAATTCAACCTGCAAATGAAAACAATATAATATCAATAAACTTGAATCACAATACCAAGTTAACAAGCTAATTCAGAGAATTTGTGTCCCCCGCTTAGGGAACAAAGAAGAGTATGCGCAGTTCTAAAAGGCGGTGGTGGTGGGGGGGGGTGTTCAGACGTCTCCCCTGGATTTGCAGAATTATTAAATGTATACATGTACATTGAAGAAAATAGAAAATGCCAATATGGATATAAAGATTTGATTGCTTATTCTTTAATATGTGTGTAGAAGCTTAAGATTCTTTTTATAAAGATTATTTATCACACTGTAATAATCATTTTATGAGTTTATACAAGCCAGACATCATAACTTTTTCATTTCACATGGTGAATACTATCATTTAGTAAATAACAAATTAATGATTTTATATAACGATTACTAATTTATTATAACAAATTATCAATTTGTTATATAACAAATCATCAATTTGTTACATCAAATCACTAATTTGTTATATTAAATTATTAATTTGTTATAACAAATTACTATTTTTGACAAAATCTGAAGGAGTATACAGATCTACGGAAGCCAGATCTGATCAGAAGTCTTGTTATAAGTCGGATTTGTGAAAAATTAAGCTCTACAGAGCTTCTGACTAATATGTTAATTTGGATTTAGATCTTTTAGCGGCTGAGAGTTTTCACTGTCAAACATCAATGTTACAAAAATACAATGCATGAAAATCCTTGGTTCCTAATAGCTTATTCTTAGGAGCTTCAATGGAATTTTGTCCTTCCGTGCCCCACCCCCCTCCTTACCCCAACCAGGGCTCCGTCCTTGAACCCAATCTAGGTCATTGCACCCGAGTTCGCATTATCTTATTTAATGCATGCTATTTTTAGAGGAAATTTTTCCACCCTGAGTCAACAACATGTTTCAACATGTTTTGTTAATTTTATTTTATTTTACTCTCTCTCTCTCTCTCTCTCTCTGGGTGCATTCTCAATATGTACCAAAAGATAATCTGCTTTACACACACCTTTTTTTCCATGTTTTAAATTTACGTGTTATTTTACCTTGGCCTATGGAGAGAACGATCATTTATGCCCTACTGTTCAATCCAATTTAGTGCAATGAATAAAAACTATTTTAATCTAAACCCCTCGTTCCTAATGCAAAATCCTGGATCTGCTCCACCGGTGAAGTTTCTTGGCCCCCTTTTACGCTGGGGCAATAAAAAGCAACATTGACAATTCTGAATTTCTAGATAGATATGAAATATACTCTGTAACAACCTCTCTCTGAGAACGAAAACAAATATCCTTGATTGCATAGTACTTGGTGAAATTTGGAGTTATATACCTTGTGTTATTTTTCATGTATGTGTGTAATTTTATTATGGAAATAAGTGCTTATTCTTTAATATGTGTGTAGAAGCTTAAGATTCTTTTTATAAAGATTATTTATCACACTGTAATAATCATTTTATGAGTTTATACAAGCCAGACATCATAACTTTTTCATTTCACATGGTGAATACTATCATTTAGTAAATCCAAAAAAAAAGGATCGTCCGGGATTTGAACTCGACACCTCTCACATGCTAAGCGAGAGTCATACCCCTACACCATGGAGGCACTTGAATATGTAGCAAATTAAATGCAAACAGTAGGTCACATTTACTAAACAGTTCAAATAAATGTTATAAGAATATAAAGTCCGCCGACAACCTGTATTATACATAATAACTCTCCACATGCTTCTGTGCTAAAAATAGTGCCAAGCGACTTTTAATACAATAAATAATAATAATAACTAGAAACTCGTTGCCATGGCAACAAGAAGGTCTTCCGTCCCCTCTCTGTCATCAGACGTCATAGGAAAATTCATTCCTCACTTATAACACACCATGTATTACCTTTGTGCAATCCTTTAAAGTCCTTCGTATAAAAAAATACATTAAAATTTAAAAAGTGTGAAAATATCCAAAATTCAAACAGCAATAAATACCAGACAACACTTTAAAGATAAAATCGTAAATTTAAGCTAAAGAAAAGTGATGAAAAATTTCAGACATTCTTGAGATTGAACCCGACTCGCCCGCGTGAGAGGCACGACGTTAATCACTATGCTATTGGGGACGCACGCTTTGAGAGGAAAAGTGCTAATTTCTAGAATAAGGATTTATTAATTTTGAAACAAAGTATACATTTAGCATTCAGGTAAGACTTTCTATTATCCCTACTTAAATCATTAAAAAATATTGAAAAGAAAAAAATTGAAAACCGATTCTCAAAATTCGCTTCAGATGGCGACCGGAAGCATCGACGACGCATTAAAAATTAACTAAACATTTACAAGTCATCGTCTAAGATCTCTGATATGTCTTACATTCACATCTTTAGCCGTTCTGGATGAGTTTGGAAGACAAAAATCCATTTTAAAATCAGGAAATTGTCTATAACTTGGAGCAGGAAGTAAATTTTCCAAAATTTCTTTGTGATAAACAAAGTTATCATTGTCCATTATCTATGAAAATTTCACTGAAATCCACTTTTCGAGAAATTGCCTGCACAAATATGTGGGAATAAAAAGAATAATAGAGATATATTGATTTTAAATCACATTATTTATTTTTTTCTCAAATGAAAGTCTCTATTATCAATACTAATATCATAAAAAAATTGGAAAAAACAAAAAGTTTGAAAAAAATGACTTTTGAAGTTTGCTTCCGGCGGCGACCAGAAGTGGTGATGACGCCAAAAAAATGACTTTGAACATCTACAACTCATGCTCTATCATCTTTGATATGTCTCAAGTTCATATCTTTAGCCATTTTGGAGGAGTTGTGAAAACAAAAATCCATTTTAAAATCAGGAAATTGGCCATAACCTGGAACCGGAAGGGAATTTTCCAAATTTTTTTAGTGATGAACAAAGTTCATATCATTGCCCATTACCTCTTAAAATTTCATTTAAATCCAAAAAATACTGTTTGAGTAATCGCCTGCATGAAATTTGGGGGGGGGGGGGTTAATACCTGAAATATGGATAAATTAAGTTTAAACCAAATTATATATTTAGATTTCAAATGAAAGTCTCTATTGTCCCTACTAATATCATTAAAAGAATTGGAAAAACAAAAAGCTGGAAAAATTGACTTTTGAAATTCGCTTCCGGTGGCGACCGGAAGTTAGACAATCCCAAGAAAAAAAGACTTTGAAATCTACATCTCATGCTCTATCATCTTTGACATGTCTCCAGTTCATATCTTTAGCTATTGTGGAGGAGTTGTGAAAACAAAAATCCATTTTAAAATCAGGAAATTGCCCTTAACATGGAATCGAAAGGGAATTTTCCAAATTTTCTTTGTGATCAACAAAGATCATTCCATTGCCCATTACCTCTTAAAGTTACATTTAAATCCAATAAATACTGTTTGAGAAATCACCTGTACAATTTTTTTTTTTTTTTGGGGGGGGGGGCTAATAACTGGAATATAGATAGATTAATTTTAAACCAAATGATATATTTAGTTTTCAAATGAAAGTCTCTATTATCCCTACTAATATCATAAAAGAATTGGAAAAACAAAAAAAGTTGGAAAAATTGACTTTTGAAATTCGCTTCCGGTGGCGACCGGAAGTAATGACGACACCAAATAAAATAACGTTGAAGATCTTCTACTCATGCTTTATCATCTTTGATATGTCTCAAGTTCATATCTTTAGCCATTTTGGAGGAGTTGTGAAAACAAAAATCCATTTTAAAATCAGGAAATTGGCCATAACCTGGAACCGGAAGGGAATTTTCCAAATTTTCTTAGTGATGAACAAAGTTCATATCATTGCCCATTACCTCTTAAAATTTCATTTAAATCCAAAAAATACTGTTTGAGTAATCGCCTGCATGAAATTTGGGGGGGGGGGGGGGGTTAATACCTGAAATATGGATAAATTAAGTTTAAACCAAATTATATATTTAGATTTCAAATGAAAGTCTCTATTGTCCCTACTAATATCATTAAAAGAATTGGAAAAACAACAAGAGGCCCATGGGCCACATCGCTCACCTGAGTAACTTTGGCCATGCTGTTCTCTACCAGATTCTCCCCCTTTTAATATACCTATTGTGGCTCCGCCCTACCCCCGGGGGTCATGATCTGAACAATTTAGAATCTGCACTACCCCAGGATGCTTCCAAATAAGTTTCAGCTTTATTGGTCCAGTGGTTCTTGAGAAGAAGATTTTTAAAGATTTTTCTTATATATTTCAATGTAAAACTTGGATTCCCTATTGTGGCCCCGCCCTACCCCCGGGGGTCATGATTTGAACAATTTAGAATTTACACTACCCCAGGATGCTTTCATAAAAGTTTCAGCTTTTCTGGCCCAGTGGTTCTTGAGAAGAAGATTTTTAAAGATTTTTCTCTTATGTATTTCAATGTAAAACTTGGATTCCCTATTGTGGCCCCGCCCTGCCCCCGGGGGTCATGATTTGAACAATATAGAATTTACACTACCCCAGGATGCTTCCATATAAGTTTCAGCTTTTCTGGCCCAGTGGTTCTTGAGAAGAAGATTTTTAAAAAATTTTCCTATATATTTCAATGTAAAACTTGGATTCCCTATTGTGGCCCCGCCCTACCCCCGGGGGTCAAGATTTTTACAATTTAGAATCTACACTACCCCAGGATGCTTCCATATAAGTTTCAGCTTTTCTGGCCCAGTGGTTCTTGAGAAGAAGATTTTTAAAAAATTTTCCTATATATTTCAATGTAAAACTCCAATTCCCTATTGTGGCCCCGCCCTACCCCCGGGGGTCATGATTTGAACAATTTAGAATCTACACTACCCCAGGATGCTTTCATAAAAGTTTCAGCTTTTCTGGCCCAGTGGTTCTTGAGAAGAAGATTTTTAAAGATTTTTCTTATGTATTTCAATGTAAAACTTGGATTCCCTATTGTGGCCCCACCCTACCCCCGGGGGTCATGATTTGAACAATTTAGAATCTACACTACCCCAGGATG